TTAATTACAATAACCCTCATGTCATTCTAAACCCATAAGACCTCCGTTCATCTTCGGAACACAAATTAAGATATTTTTGATGAATTCTAACAGCTCTCTGACCTTCCCATAGACAGCAATGTAATTACTACGAACCCCTGATGTCACATGGATTATTTTATCGATCTCCTTGCTACGTTTCTGGACCTTGATCATGGTAATTACATTGCTGTCTATGGGAGGGTCAGAGAGCTGTTAGAACTCATCAAAAATATCTTAATTTGTGTTCCGAAGATGAAAGAACGTCATGCAGGTTTGAATCGACATAAGAGTGAGTAAATGATGGGTGGGTGGGTGAGTAAATGGTGTGGGCCTTAGTCAAACATGTTGTGCTCAGAGATTTATTTTGATTGGAAGTGATTATATTTACATAAGAACATTAGAGAAGGAGACAGTCCTCCTGACGCAGAACAAATCACCTGACCCCCAAACCTACTTGTTACTATAGACAACACCATATCTTTCTCACTGTCTTTTATATTGAATTTTTAGATCCCTATACAGAGCGACAACCAGAGTGCTGTGGACAATGAATGATCTTTACAAAGCTATAACTTTGCCATCTAAAAGCTTTCATAAACCACTCTTTTATTTAACACTTACTTTACCTTTCTAACTGAAGTTACATTGCAGTTTGTAGGCTTATTGTAATCCATTTCTCTGAGAACTTATTTTTTGACCTAGAAACCAATGGCTTCAAACAAACTTTATTTTATTGTGTTGTTGAAACACTAAATGCATTGCTTCTCCATAGGTTTGTCTTTCTCAAATGGAAAATGGCATTTGTCAAAAGCTTTAGAGAAGATATAACTCTTAAACAGACTCCTGCCTGAGGAGGACGGAGTTCAATTTGACTAACAACAAATAAGCTGTTGTGTATCCATTGAGCCAGCGGTGACAGAATCCACCTCATTGAACTGAAGCAACATGTGGCCAAACCCAGAAGGAATCCAGAGAGAGAATCATCTGTGCAGGGGAGATAGACCGTGTTCTCACAGCTGTTTTCATCAGCTTGTGGCAAAATAACAGACAGATGAACTGATAAAAACAAAATGCTTTAGCAGTTCGGAATATAGTGTGCAGTGACCCTTCGTTATCAACTGAAATCGCAATTTTAACTTTGGTCAGGCTATTTTTTTTTTAAATATTTTCACCCGGAAACAAGTTAGCATTGTGGCACTTCAGGTTCAGCAAGTCATGTGCATTTGTGAAATTAATCTCGATGCCCTGTAACGATAATTCACTGAAGACGAGCGTAATGAACCCAAGTGCAGTTTATTGAACAAGTGAAATCTAAAATACAAACAAAGACTTGACTTGACTTGAAACAAAAATTCACCAGCAGAGGGTTACACGAACAATACTCGACGGGAGACAATAGGCTTGTTCAAGATGAACTACACTAGCCTGCCACCGGCTGGCAAGAGTAGCCACTTGCAGTCGGGGCGGAATTAAAAGTGGAGACGTCAAGTCGGACACTTTCTGCTACGGGTAGTGACGCTCTCGCAGTGTTTGCATACTCTATCACAGATAAAGTGAATTAAATGCAATATTTCTCAAATATAAAGAAACGTTTTTATGATCAACAGAAACACTTTTTATATAGTGCTTAAGTTAATACAGCGTCATCTGTTCAAGAATAAAGTTCAGCATATAAACATATAGGCTACTAAATACCGATAAAGTGGGGGAATATATGCTTTTATCAGTGTTTTTGATGAAAATGACTCAATATAACAGTGCGACTACACTAAAAATGCTTTTACTGTTATAAAAACCCGGATTTGTGAGCATTATTGGAATTGAATTGTTAGAATAAGCACGCAACACACGTCGTGCTTGTCATCGCAGAATCTGACCAATGAGAATAAAGTGTGTCGTTATCAAGGCTTTCGCAGCCGATTTTGAGCAACTGCAGCGCCTGACCTCGGCGGCTGGTCTCGTTTTGCTCTCGCGGTACTTTGATGGCACATGTGATCGTAAGGCGGCTGCAGCGCCGATCAAAGTCGGACAAATGTTCTAACCAGAATTCATTGCTTTTGTCAGGCGGCAGCCGATTTTTGCAGCACCGCATGAAGTCAAACAAGCCTAATGGCAACATGAGGGCTACTTATACCAAACAATACAGGTCACATGACACAATCCAACCAATGAGAAACAAGACACATGACTAAGACAACCAATAACAACATGACACATTGAACAAAGGAACTAATAGCAGGATCACATGACAGGGTAGGGAAACACATGACAGGAACATGAAACATGCTAAATATCAAAATTAAAGACAAGGATACCTAAACAAGAAACAAAAGCCCCAAAACCAGCGTGACATGACCAAATGTTTAAGAATTAGAAACTTTTGTTGGTCACAGAACATATTTTTTACAGTAATCCAAAAGCCAATGGAAAAATCTATTGGGTTTTTGTTCGGGGAACCAAGGTGATGCTTACTTCTACACTGTAAAAAAAAATCCGTAAAATTTACGGTAAAAAAACGGCAGCTGTGGTTGCCGGAATAGGACCTACAAAAACACGTCATCACTGCAGCAATTTTTAAGACAACAACAGAAAAAAAGGTGTATTTCGGCATGAAATGAAAATTCATCTATTGTATCTATTTTGTAAATGCATGTTGTTATTGATCTTTTTGTGGACACTTCATCCATGCAAATGTTTCATTTTGTAATGTTTAATTAAAATATTACTTCTCCAATAATTTAGTCGGATTTTCACATTTTGGATACAACACCCACATCTCAGAATCCAATGAACAACCAATGCAGTCCCTGCCCTACATTGTATTTCTTTTTGATAATCTTGGATTTGTCACAATATGGAACAAAAGATCAGTTGTTACTTTCTTTACGTTGCAAACTGTACGAAAAAAATATATAACATGTCTTTTTTAAATAACTTTAGAATTGGAGTCGCTTTAACAATTCCACTGGCTGTATAAGTATAAACACCCACCTCATACTGAATCCCATGACCTGAGGTCAAAGATAAAGGATATGCAGCCTGTATTTCTTTAGGAAGTGATGGATGAAATGATGTATCGTGTTGCATAGAGGGTCTGTGAGCAGATATGGCAGGGATGACCTGCTATGGAGTTTTCAGCTTGAGAAAGCACAGAATCTCTGACACAGTCTCCCATTACTTTGTGTCCAGGTGGGCTGGCCTGTGGATAAATGTTGTCACGTTCAGGGAAGACACTTGTCTAATGGTTTCCACCATGCATAAAGCCATGAAATTAAGAAGCAATGGCTGGTTCAGTGACAGTGTCTTGTTTTCCATTTGGTTTCTGATTTATTGTGGCGAGTGATTTTTGGAGATGGAAATTTAACGGAGGCAGTGAGAAAAGAGGCGTCTGTGTTTCATACGCCGGTGTGTGTGACGGAAAGGCAGGGCTGGATGTCAATCTGTGAAGTCCTCTGTGGAATCGGATCTAAACCAAGGGGAAAGACTGAATGAAGTGTCTCTCCATTTTCACTCTCGGCTCAAGAGGAACAATAACAGATGCAGTTGATAGGAAATACGTATTCTGAGCAGCAGACTAATTCAAGAGTTTGAGAGGGTTCTCGTTCTGTCTCATATTCACTCTGTTCTCTCTTTAGAGTTTCTGTTTTCTTTTTCACACACATTCCACCCAAGCCTCAAAACCAGTGCAACACCATTGTGTCAATCAGCGCCCCCCCCCCACTGGAGCCTGGATCTCTGTGACAGTGGGACTTTATAGTGTTCCAGCATGTCGTCCTGTCAGAATGCAAGCCACATGCTTTCACCTTCAGCCCTCCACTAGTAACACCCATAATTACTCACTGGGTGGTTTGGAGGAAGTTGGGTGTGTGGGGAAAAAGCCCTGAAATGGGTCAGCAGGGCCATTGGGTTCAGGGTGGACAACAGCAGCTGTAATTAAATCTGACAAAAGATTAATGGTGACTCTAAGACTAATTTGTCTGTACCAGTATTTATTTATTTATTTATTTCAATTAGTGTTGCTGGATGACAGTAAAAGGGATGACGGAGCTGTCCAATACTGTGGTGCTGAAATGCAGTTGCAGCATGAAGAACTCTGGGTGGGCCGTCTCACGCTGTGCTTTTTATCAGCATTAACATTCCTACCGCCCACTAGATGTAATGGGATTTTATGCGATAGTTATTCTAGTCCTTTCAAAATATTTGCTGATAACAACCCACTGATTTTCAGCAGCAGAAATAAGTCTGAAATGTTGTCTTATCAACAAAAGCCTCTGTTGCCTAGAAAATAGTTTTAATGAATTTTGATTCAACTAGTGAAAACAATTTTTAACATTTTCTGTAATTATTACTTATAACTACAATAAAAAATACAGTATGTTACAAGTATTATGGGACAGCATTTTGTCTATATTTCACAGTTCCTTACTATATATGTCAAGTTAGGAATCCTATTTGCTACTAAAACCTGCCTATTAGCATTAAAAATGTAAATAAACGCTAAAGAAATGTGATTGTTCATGAAGACATTGTTATTAAACTGAATTGAATCAACATTGAACTGACATGAGCCAAGTAGGCTAATGACACTTTTTTTCTTATGTAGAGCTAGTTGAACTCGTTTTATAATTGATGAACTGTATTGTATAAAGCGCTATGTAAATAAATGTGACTTGACAGTTAACCAACTAAAAGATTTTTAATGTAGCATTTTGTGCGTTAATTTCCCCTCGTTATTTTTGCAGTGTGCGTTGTGTGTTATTTTTACAGTGTGCGTTGTGCGTTGTATTTCAGAAGTTAACTGCCGTGAGAAATAGCTTAGGTAGTAATGAGCCGTATCTATGGATCAATAGCGTGATGCTACGCCGAGAGAGAGAGCAAAGCACGAATAATATGTGAAAGAATGCGCTAGGGGTGGAGTTCTGCTCTTTTACTTTCCACTCCACACAGTGCAGACAGAGAGATCTCACCGCTGCCAGAAGTCGCGCACCTGTACTCTTCCTTGAGGTTTTCATTTAGCAAACCAACCCCTTTATATCTTCTTTTTTTTTCTTGCAACATTGCTGATTTCTTATTTTGAGCGCATCACAGGGCATCCGCGGACTCCAGCACAGACGCTGATTCTCTGTCACCCTGCTGAGCTGGGAGATTTTAGTAAGCACCGCAGGACCCAGAACTGCAAAACTGTTTGAAGTAGAGAGCTTCCTCTTGTCCCGCGCGCCCATGGAAGGCGACGTTATGGATAAACTAGAGGACATGGCCTCAGTGTGCGAGTTCGACCCTATTACGGGGAATATTCCCGCCACCAAAGTGGAGATCACCGTCTCGTGCAGGTATGACTCACTCAAGTTGAAATCACTTTGATTTCATGGCGTTTATAGTTCGTTAACCACATAATATCAATACTTTACCGTGTGTTAGTGGTCTTAAGTTGAATATTTGGTTCTGTTGGAAAAAAAAAAAAAAAGTTAGATTTTTCTTCTTTCTATGGGTTATTTCCCAACCAGCATACTGGTTCTGTTAATTGAGAGCATGAGAAGCATCAGTATGTAAATGGGTTTGGTCTAAAGAAGCATAGAAATGTTCTCCTTTGGGATGAGACTTTATTTTAAGCATTATTTAGCATAGCCTATAACTGTTCATGGAATGCACTTTTGGTTATGAGCTGCCATTAATTATAAAAAAATAAAATAAAGTTTTAGAAGTAACAGTTCACATGCAACAATTTTGACTCAGATTTTCTGGCTCTACAATACTGATATGAGCGTAAATATCTAATATATCTGGTTAGTTGCGTCTATATAGGCTGCTTGCCCAAAGTACTTCACCTCAGTTGTCTCCATATAGAGATGCCATAAGTTGTCAGATGCTCTGAACATCAGACTATAAACATCCCCTATAAACATCATCTTTGCTTTACATCAATAATAAACGTCACGTTTGTGTATTTAGTTGCGTTATGTGAACTGCTTGTTAGAGGAAATCCATCTTCAGTTTTTCATCTAATAATTTTTTGTTGGCTTGTAAAATGTGATATTACTAGTTGCCAAATCATAGTACTGTAGTACCGAAGCAAACGGAGAATATTCATCAGAAGAAGCATAAAAACCCCACCCAGATGTCCTCATGTCAATGGATATATTCTTCACTACAGTACAAAATAGCAGAAAGGGGTTTTTATATGTCGCATGCAACATAATTCCTGTAATTCCAACGATTTTCAGTCAAGGGGCTCCGCAGCCAGGACCACAGCCGGTTCATTGCTCAGACTGATAGGAGGGCTATTGGTTTGGGTTTTCAATCATCTTGAGGAGTAATGGATACAGCTGGCATACGCAACATCTGCTATGTCTTTAATAGTCGCTTATAGTCAATTATACATGCTTCAGTCCAATTTAGACAAAATGATTTTACTGAATTTCCCAATTTGACAGTCAGACCATCTATTTAATGAGAGAAATTTCCTGTGCAAGTAGCTAATTGTAGAGAAATTTCCTGTGCAAGTAGCTAATTGTAACGCCCCTGTGGACTGTTTGTTGTGGTTTCTTCCCTTTCTGTTGGTTTAGCCTGTCTAATCATTAGTTAATCACCGTCATTGTGCTCACCTGTCTGCCTCTAATTATTCACCCCATATTAGTTCCTGTCTGTCTGAGCATTGGTGTCGGTTATTGTTAATGTTACCCCGAGTGTCCACCACCTGCTCTGCCGCCGTTGGACGATCCTCCTCCTAGCCCCCCTCCGCCCCTCCCTCTGTTTCTACGTTGCGAGGACGCACCTTCCGGGAGGGGGGAGTACTGTAACGCCCCTACTAATAACCATAAGCTCGCCAACTTCTCAGCTGCAGGTTAATATTGCCTGCTGTCTGCATTGAGAAAGAAAGAAAGAATATCGATTATTATGGGTGTAATTTGGTCTGATTGTTAGCTGAATGAATTTCTCTTTTAAAGACCAAGACTTCATCACATTAGCTAATGTGATCTCAACTGTTTTTAATTAAGTAGATATAAATTGCTTTTAAAATTTAAATACATTTGCAACTTAATGATTATACAAATACAAGCAAGAGTACCAAGTATACATTACACAAAACTCTTTACTTTGGATTTTAATTTGCACTTGACATTACATGAATTTGACAAGGGTCTTAAATAACATGCACATATAATAGCATATTTTTTTTGCATTTTCTACCTGTTTCTCCATTCTTTATCTTCCTTGTCAAATAAATAAATAAATAAATAAACTACAAAAAATACAAAAATCCTAAAGGAATGCTAATGGAGTTATTATCCATTATAAAGGTATTTATATCATATATCCGTATATATAATGGGTTCAAATAAAATTCTAATTCTAAAAAAAAATATATATATATATATCTGGATTAAATTTAAAATAGGAATATTAGTTTGTCCTGTAGTACCTCATTTGATTCTAAGATAATTTTTAGAAGATTTTTGTTTGATCTGATTAGGATTGGTTCTCTGTTCTAATTATGAAATTCCATCAGCTGTGCTTTATAGGATTTTAAATTTTTCTCGGTTCTACATACCCATAACTGCAATAATCAAACACAGATAAAAAAACCTCATTAGTGTTCAAATATGTGATCTGATTATAGATTTTTGTAAAAAAATATTTTTGTTATTTGAATTGAAATAGATTTTTGCCACCTTCTTGCGCCTGCGATTGAATAAATGAATAAGTAAATCTACTGGCCCTAAACCATTATGGCCTTCTCTGTCAGTGCAGAACATTCTCTCCAGGTCTGTGATGAGACTCTGTGTGGCGGAGGTGGAAATCATCACCTGCGTTTGTTCTCTGTAATTGATTTAGTTTGGGCTGATTATCAGGGGATTGTGGCAGACATGGAATTGAATCGCTTCACTTCCCCCTCCAGATTCCCTCATAACCTGCTGATGTTATTGGAGAGCAGAAAGTTTGGTCTGACAAACCAGAGGCTTTGTGATAACCCTTATCACAAACACACAAACAAAAGCTGTCCTGTGGGTGAGAGATACGCGATTGATCCAGTTGTCTGGCACTAATTGGGTTTTGGGTTTTGATTGGTTTGTTTTACCATGGTCAAATGGCAGAAAAAACAAGTTTTTGGATATACTTAGTGGGTCTTAGAAAGATACTTTTTTGTTATACACTACTGTTCAAAAGTTTGGGGTTAGTAAGATTTTCTTTTTTGAAAGAAATTTATAAGAAATCTTACTGGCAGCAAATCAGCATATTAGAATGATTTCTGAACGATCATGAGACACTGAAGACTGGAGTAATGACTGCTGAGAATTCAGCTTTGCCAGGAATAAATTACGTTTTAATGCTTCAAATAACAAATATGCATTTTGACTTGCAAATAATTTAATCCTAAATATTTTGGACATCAACAAAGCTCCTTGCTGCTGGGAAACATGGTTTTAGCAAGTGTGTCCATGCCAAAAACTATGTGTCCCTGTTGTTACTGTCCTCCATGAGTAGCTCTCTGTGTTGTAAAAGTGGAGGAATAAAGTTGCAGTTGTTGGCAAGCTTCAGTTTCACTGCAGATCCACGTCCTCCTCTTGGTTGACCTTGCAGGTGAGGATCCAGATCATGGAATACATCAACATTCACTCTGCACCCCTCTGCTGCTTGACTCTCTAGGCTCTACTCTGCTGAGAAGGGCTCTGTCTGGTGGGTATTTGCAAACCTGGAGATGATTTACGGATGGGGTTCAGCTCCATTCTCAGCATGTGACTTGATTCCAAATGGAGCGGTGGTATATTGTAAGCCGTTATTGTTCTTTTGCTATTTAGTTTTGCAATAGAGTTAAAGGTATTGTTCTCCCCAAAATGAAAATTTGCTCACCTGCAGGTGACCAAAGGTGTAACTAGATGAATTTGTTTCTTCATCTGAACAGATTTGGAAAAATGTAGTATTACATTGAATTGCTCACCAATGGATGCTCTACAGTGAGTGGGTGCCATCAGAGTCCAGACAGCTGAAAAAGCATCACAATAAGCTACAAATAATCCACACGACTCCAATCCATCAGTTAACATCTTGTGAAATGAAAAGCTGCATGTTTGTAAGAAACAAATCCATCATGAAGGCGTTTTAACTGTAAACCGTTGCTTCCAAAATAGAGTCCATAATCCATAATAATGCTTCCTCCAATGAAAAAGTCCATCCACTCCTCTCACATCAAAATCCACCAATATATTTGTTTAGAACTGTTTTGGACTGTTTTCTCTTGTAAACAGTGCTTGATCTGTGCTTGATATTTCTCTTGATTTAGACAAGATGACTTTTTCACTGCAATATTATGAATACAGGACTTACAGTATTTTTAGCTGGAAGTAATTTTTTGAAGTTAAAATGTCTTGATAAATTTAATTTTTACAAACAGTTTTAGCTTCACAATACATTATTTTATGGACTGGTGTCATGTGGATTACTTGTGGATTATTGTGATGTTTTTATCAGCTGTTTGGACTCTCATTCTGACGGCACCCATTCACTGTCGAGGATCCATTTGTGGCCAAGTGATGTACTGCTAAATTTTGCCAAATCTGTTCTGATAAACAAGCAAACACATCTGCATCTTGGATAACCTGAAGGTGAGAAAACTTTCAGCAAATGTTAATTTTTGAGTGAGCTATTCATCTAAATACTCTGCCACCAAAATGAAAGAACAATCAGATGCTACTTGAACTTTACCTGGTGATGAAGGAAGTAACTCCAAAGTGAGACTGAGAAAAAGAGAAATGTAGAAAGATGGATGGAATTAATTGACTGGATAGATGGATAGATGGATGGATGGTTAGGTCTTCAGCGTGTGATAAAGATGCAGAATCAGTGGCAAAAGATGTGAGAGGCTTAATGAGATTTACAATCATTATGTATTCACTCTGTAATCTACTGCAGAAGTGGTTGTGCGTGTGTGTGTGTGTCCTAGTTTATGCATTGTTTTCATCCAGTCTCTATTCACATCTTTTTGTCCTGTTTTTGTAGTGATTTTTTTTCTGTAGGATTGATTGACATTGGATATACAGGAATTGACCGATATTACACTGTGGCAGTAATTTTGAATCTTTAATAATAAACAAGTCTGTGATATGGCCAATATGTGATTAAAATGAAATCTTAGGTTGGTAGAAAACAGTTTTTTAGAGGAGGGACTGAGTGTCTGACCTCTGCGTGTCACAGAGGGAAGCGCTTAATATGGTGAATAGTCTAACAGATGGTTGAGGGAAAAAAAACAGCTGCTGAATGGATGGATGGGCTGGGTGAGAGCTTGGCCAGTTGTTAATTGAGTTGGCTGATTTAGTATGCATATAAATGTGTT